AAAGCAATGAGATATAGTATTATTACAGGTAATTAGATCATCAATGAAAAGTCCTTTAATTAGCCCAAATGTCTTTCTTTTACCAAACAAATGTCTAAAATGACTAAACTAATACTTCATATATAATAATTTATGCATATCTTTTATTTAATAGAAAAGGAAATCATTTCCAAACTACAATACATTTAATGTATTTTAACAGGATTATATTTTCAGATTTTTTTTTCTTTTTAAGAAAATTACATTTTACAGTGATTCAAAGTGACAGGTTTTTTTGTGGTTGTTTTTACGTTAGGCATTTGTTTTTGTAATTGTATTGATCTTTTCAGGTATTTCCAAAAATATGGAGAAAAAAAATCTGTAAAATAAAAATAAAAAATCTCTCAAATAAAAAGAGAAAATTCTGTCAGACTCCAGGTTTTAATTTTTTCCCCGTGTAGAAGCAGAACCTGCATATACAGACCGATGGACACCAAGCAGGTACCAGCAGAGATGAGCAGCTCTGACCCTCCTTCAGCAGTCTGCTTGCTTCTTATTTGAGTGACTTATTTATGCTTCATTATCAGGATTCCTCAACATCCAGCTGCCTCCACATCACCTTCACCTCCTGTGAACCAGGACACTCAGACTGTACGTAGATGATAGAACTCCATACTGCCCATAAATGTCAGTTCTTCTATCATCTGGTCATTCCTTTCTGTAACTCAGATCAGCAGTGGGTTCATTAATAAACAGGTCTTTGCAACACACTAAGCCAGTTTGGTTTCTCCTTTCCAACGTGTTGGTCCGGTTGTCCGGCCGCTGTGTTTGGGGGAGGTCCACGTCCGGGCGGGTCTGTAAACACTCTGCTATACCTGATAGACAGAGATTATGCTGGGATGTTTGCGCATGTGTCAGCCTTTTGATCTGCAGCCGGTCTTTTGTTGTTGCTATCAGTAGAGATTCCTCTCCTCTTCCTGTCTCCCACAATGCACTGCTGTCTTTATCGGGCTGTGCAAGAGGCAGAGCAGCGCTGTGGAAGCCCTCCATGCTGTTCGCTATCTTCCCTCCCTGCTCATTGTGTATCTGGCTTCCTTTCACTCCCCTCAGCTCTCTCAATCTGTGGCCTTGAAGGGCCTTCGCAACTTCTGGCGTCTGCTTTTGTCTGCCTCCTGGTTCTGGTCCTGCTGAAGTGAGAGCGTCTGCCGGTATGCAGGAACACCAGGCCACGGCAATATCTGAGTCGGAGAGCGTTTGTCCTGAACGTTGGGTTCAGGTGGTGTTGGGTTGGTGGTCCGAGGCTCCACTGCAGATGTTGGCTGCTTGATGAGCTTTCAGGAGTGAAGGAAACAGCCTCGACAAATGTTCTGAGTTGGGCAGCAGATGGACCATAAATCAAATAGAAAGATTTCAGCAGGACCAACAGGAATTCTTTAGTTATTTTGGTTTTTTTTAAACCCTGCAGAGATAATCTGCTGTTTTCTGTGAACAACGAGCAGCTTCTGGACGTTTCTTTGCTCACTGGTGACTCGTTCTTGTTTTTACTATAATAAAGTCTTGCAGCTCTGTGAAAACAAGAAGCCATGACCAGAAGTAGAGCGAACGTAGAGCTGTCTTCTGTGCAGGACAACAAGCCTGGAGTCACGTCAAACTAACGATGCTGACTGGAAGATGGCGCTCTAAGCTGTAGCTATTTGACTTCTTATATCTTGATTTGCCTCCATGCTGGACTCCTTCCTGCTCGCTGTGAAGCGCAGCCTGAAGCAGTCGACTCACCAACGGCTCAAAAGCAGAACTTGCTCGTTTTCTCTTTCTTTCTTTTTTTAATCTGTTTTGTCTAAATTAGTTATTTTGGCCGTTTTTTAAATGAGACATTCAGGATGTGGTGATTTTCAGCCTCCATTTGGTCTAAACTTTGGAAATGGATCGGCACATCACAGGTCCGTCGTCCCAACACGGTCACAAGTCCAACGATTCTTTCTGCTTTTACAGTTTCGTGCTACAACAGTGAAACTTTAACTATTAACTATAACTATGGCACTTTATGGACAAACGTTTTTAAAATCCATCTTTTGCACACTTGGTACCTGTTTATTTATTTCTCTGATTTTTACTCTAGATTGTACATTTCGTTTTGTATTTTATGTCAGGTGTCTTGTGGGGTTGTCTGTGTTTTATCTTTTCATGTTTTGTCTTTTAATGTAGCTGCTGGAACAGATAATGAATCAATAAACTGACTGTCCTGTCCTGTCCTATCTTGTCCTATCTTATCCTATCTCGTCCTATCTTTCCTGTCCTGTCCTATCTCGTCCTATCTTATCCTATCTTATCCTATCTCGTCCTATCTTATCCTATCCTATCTTATCCTATCTTATCCTATCTTTCCTGTCCCGTCCTGTCCTGTCCTGTCCTATCTTATCCTATCCTAGTTTTGGTGATTTTTTAAACGATACCACGCTTCAGAGGCTTAACATAGACACGATACAACTTGTGCAAAGCAAAATGTCTGCGGTTTCTTTTTGTCTATGCTTCAGTGCACAACATCTAAGAATTCCCAGCTGGGTAAATATGCAGATCCCTTCTTTTCAGCTCCATAACTTTCCATGTTGATAATTAACTCACAGTACATGAGCACAGAAGCGACCATTTCAACTCTCCGCTGGTCTACGTGCCACATCAACTCATACACTCAGCATCTCTGCTCTGGAGAGGGTATTGGGTTACGCTACGAACAGCCAGAATCGCTTCATTAAATAGCTTATTAAATAGGTTATTTGACAGAGTGGTATGTGACATATCTCTGTGTTTTAAGTCGTGTAGGGTTACTCCTTCCCCTGGGCCATAACATATTATGAAGTGCACAGGTTGCTTTGTGCAGGCCCAGGTCACGGCCTGCTAAATATTTAGGGAGGGTGTGCACGGCCCTGCAGCCCTCCCACACTGTGGGAGACACCACAGAGACGCAAAGACAATAAATAAATGTAGCTGTAGAGAGAGACAGGGCAGCTTGGTGCACATGGTCACTCCAGGCACAAAGCACTTTTATTACTGATTAATGATTGTCTAAGATCAGCAATGTTCCAAACAAAGTCCTCTTTCAATATTTCCACTTTACAAGAACAACGTTTGGACCGCTCCATTATCCAGCAGCACTGATGAGGTTCTGCTGCACGGTCACCAGCAGGGAGAGGTACACTTTATTATTATACTACCATGAATATGCATATGTCTTTACTTCATCATTTAAACTTAGTACTTTCTAATTTTATGATGAATCTAAACTTATATGCTTTCAGGCGCTTACATGAAAGAATGTGTTGGTT